AAATAAATTCTGTTTTGCGTACTCACAACTGTAAACCTGCTATTGCCTACCTCTGTATAAAGACCATATGATTCTGTTGAGAATCAGTATCATCATTAAATGAATTCCTGCTGTTGCTCACCTTGCAGTGACCTCAGAAATTAACACATCTGTCTTCACACACATTTTTATTGATTGGATTATATGTCTACAAGATATTTCAGGATAACAGAACAATAAAACTTAAATATAATTGCACCTAACTACATTAAGGCCTAACATTCTACCTGGTGGGCCGTAACCTCTCTTTTAATTCCAAGAAGCCATTTTAACACCACCCAATCTCCACATCACCCTCCCCCACAAAAATGTGAGAAGAGCAAAGCATGAGATCACCTGGAATTAGTTTCTAAAGCAGAGGTTCTCAACCAGGGCAACTTTACTCCCTATGAGACATTTTTGGTTGTAACAACTAGATGGGTGCTATTGGTATCTAGTAGGTAGCAGCCAGGGATGCTACTACTAAACATCCTATAATGAATGCACAGGCAGAGACTACAACAAAGAACTATCCAGCCCAAAACGTCAATAATGCTAAGATGAACAAATCCTGCTGTAGAGCAGTGTTTTTCAAAGTGTGGTCAGGCCCCAGGCTACTAACGATAGCATAAGAGCCACTTCTTAGATCTAAACTGAATGCAATCAGAACACAGAGGTGAAATTACTTGTCCAAAGTCACCCTCAGTTAGTATAAAACAAAAATCAGAATTTGAACCCAGGTGGCCTAATTTCAGAACCTATACTCTTACCACGTTATACCAACCCCCAATTTAAAAAAAAAAAATAAAGTTTTAAAAAGTATATGTGCTTTAACTTTTGTACATCTGATTTCTTTACTTGTCCATTAGAGGACAAAAACTGTTTGAGAATGGACTTAGGCAAAGCACAGAGAATGGATTGGGGAAGATAAATTATACCCACCATAAAAATTATATCCTCCATAACTTTACACACTAGTGTGCTTTTTATAGGCTGCTAAATAAGTAATATGAAAATTATAGGGGTATGTTAATGTTACTGGGTTTCCTAAAAGAAATGCACTGAGCCTATGGGATGATGTTTTTCCCACTTAGCTTCCTGTCATTAACTGGTCACATCCCAGATTCTTTCTGGTTTTTCAGTCTCTATAACCCAGGAAAAAGCAATCTTTTCATGTACAGTTCAAGAAATTAGGCTTGACAGATGCAATAGGCAGGGCAAATTTTTCTGATAGGTAGGAATCCATTTTTGACTCAGAGGGTGGGGAGAGGAGGTAGGGTGGAAATTTTCAAGCACATCTTGCTGAACTTGCTTGTAGTATAAACTTTGATTTGGAATTTAAGCTTAAGATGTTTTCCATTGGTGGTGTGATACTTTGTCTTTTCATAAGCATTCCTCTTTCAAAAAAAATTTTGAAACATTTGGTTCTTGGGCTAGTAAACTCTTTGATACAATAGCAATTTAACCAGCATTTGGGGCAATGATATGTTCCACAGAACTGAATTCTGCATAGGTGACTAACAGCCATCCCTTTAAGTGCTGAGCTTTATTCTTACCATTTCTATTGGAAGAACTTCTAAAATGTACTATATACTCGTACCTCAAAGTAAATGCTATGTAGTCAAACTTTTATTTCAGATTCAGGATCATAACTATGATCTTCAGTAACTGAACAAGGAGCCTCTGGAAGTATCTAAGACCTCAGCTCAAAGACTGAATCACCCAGACTGAACTTTGAGTTCTTACATCTTCTATGTTACTGACAGCTGTCTGTATTTTGCTGAGTGCTGCAGTTACCTTCTAACCTGCTGTGTGCAAAGTAATCACACAACCACATTGTCTGTAAATTTATATTCAAACTAGAGGCCCGGTGCATGAAAATTTGTGCACTGGGGGGTGGGGGGGTGGAGGAGCCCAGGCAGCCTGCCCCCTCACAGTCCAGGAACCCTCAGGGGTTGTCCTACTGGCTTCCCTCTGCGGGAAGGGACCGGGCCCATCAGGGGAAGGCGCCGCCCCCATTACCCCACACTGCTGCTGCCACCGAGGCTGCCTGCCCTCGGTCCTCGCAGCCACCGTGGCTTTGTCTGGCAGGACATCAGGAAGAATGTTCGGCTGTCTGGTCTAATTAGCATATTATGCTCTTATTATTATAGATAAATTATTGTCAATGGGAATCTTTTCTTTGGAGTGTATTGTATACAATTTTCCCTCCTGTTTAATTTTAGAATTGTGCTCAGCATTAATCTGGCCTCCATAAGGGGAGCTAGGAGACAATGTACATTTTCAGCTACCTCCCACATTTTCCACATAAACATTTATCCTGCTTTTTATAATGACAAAGAGAACAAACGTAGCATTAAACTCAACTTCCTTTGGAAACATTTCAATGTGCAATGTTTTATAATGTTTCCAAATCTTAGAATTGTACATCTCTGTGTGAACTCTGATCTCTAGTGTTGTCCATGATAATCTCTAATCTTCTCTTCTCCAGAAATTTTGCTTGATGAGCCTTCCAGTGGCATTTTTAAAAGCCTTTTCTACAATGCCTTATTCCTTGACCTCTCTCCACAGCTGATAGCCTGGATTACCTGTTTTGACATTTTACCAGATTCTAAAGAGGTGCTCTCACACTGTGTGCTTCTGTTAGTATCCTCTTCAGACTTCCCTCTAGGATTCTTCCTCTTATTATATTAGCATTTCTCACTCAAATAACTGCACTACCATCTTTTTGCAGGTGGCTCTGAAACACACCTCTTTGTTTCCATGACACCTCTTTCTAGACTTTAAACAATGCAGCCCTACTTCCAATTCAATTAGCTCCCTCATCTTTGCCCTCTTGCCTCTTTTTCTAGCGTGGAGGAAGGCTCTACTTTGTACAGACTCAAAAAACGCACATCTTAAGATCCTTAATCTTCTGTTTATAACCTCTGCCAAACCTCTCCCTTCCACAGTATCAAAGAATGTGATAATGTCTTTCCTCTATCTCTCCTCTGCCTAGTCCAACCTTGGCCACATTGTGCAGCTTATCAGTCTTTCTTGCCTCTAAAATACAGCAGTGAAACCCATCTCCCCGCCTGAAGTTGGAACCCATTACAGGTGTAAGCTGTAGGTCAATAGTATTGCAAACAATCTGAAATCCCGAGAATGGCCTAATATAAAAGTTAACGAGTATTATCAAGCTCTGACATTGTATGTATTGTTTCAAAAGACATAATTGGATTCATGGCGTAAGCCAAATTAGGAAAACCTCAAACTGTTTTTATTACATTTTTTACAACCAACCTAGGAATGCCCCTCTAACCTTTCCACAGAAGTGCCCCACACAGGAGAGTGACGTCTATACCCCAGGGATCTGAACTTGTAACCCAAGGCACCGCTAAAGGAATGTCTGACATTTTCTTTTAACATTTATGAGTTCATCACCTCCATAAACATAGTAGTATTTTATTCTAAAAATGGTACCTAACATTTTCAGCTCTAAGACGAATGCTCCAAGAAAGAAGCACTAGGCTTCCCCTGTGACCCTGACAACCTGTGCGCACACACACCAGGCACTGGCACCGCCGGGGGAAAACACACACAGGCCTGGGGTTTGTGTCCAGCTCTTGAAGAGGCGGCTAAAGGCACACACGTTGGCATCACAATCGAACACATGTTTACATGAAGACGTGAGGATCTCCACAGACGTTTGGCAATTTAACATCAGGATGCCACAACGTTGCCAGTGAGATGCCGAGTTCCCTTGCTGACCCCCAAAAAACCCTTCCCCGATGGGGGTTTTAACCTTCCCTGCCCTTAAATTAAGGGCTCCCAACCCGGTTTCCTTTCTCATCGTAAGGGGAATTTGGCATTTTAAACTGTTTTTCTGGGTGCCTTTTTGTCTTTTTCCTACCCTCCCTTAAGAGCACTTCCCCTTTTCCAGGGGGCCGGCCCAGCCCTCCAGGGCTGCGCTCCATCCTCCTCGAACCTCACAACAAAGACGAGGAGCGTCGTAACCAGGGGTCCCGAGTGCCCCCGGCGGCGGCCCCGGAGGCGGAGGGAAGCAACGCTTCGGTGTCCCTGGGAGCCGCGAAGCGCCAGCGCCTCATCAGCTGCAAACAACCCTAATTACAGTGCCGCCTGCACCCCATCATTAGCCTCCACCGGGCCCACACCTCCCGCCCGGGAAGTCGTCCTCGGACCCCGGGCGGAGCCTCCCGTGCCCGGCACCTCCCCGCCGACCCCCGACCGGCCGCGGGTGAAGACGCGGCCGCCCCAGCCCTCCCCGGCTCCGCCCGCCCCAGGCCCCGGATGTGACGGCACCGCATTCCTGGGCACTCGCCCCCCGGGACGAGCACTGGGGGGGACCCCGGAAAGGCGGCCGCGTGAGGGTGGAGGGTTCACGGGTCCCGGCGGACATACCTAAGCGAGATAGGGGTTCGAACGGGGCCACCCGCTCGCACGTACTCCACTTTGAACAATTTCTCCGAGCTGACGCGTGGTGTCTCACCGCCGACTCGACTAAAACGCTGGAGCAATAGCATGGGGTACTATAGAGAGTCAGGTCAGCACATCTGCTACATCCTCTACTTTCCAATGAGTTCGTCGCCGGAAGGAAGAGGAGGTAGTAGGAAGAATGTGGTCTCAATGCTGCCTTAGTTGCACCATAGTAGCTCTACACATTGGAACAGACCGTCGCAGCGGTGGCGGGAGTGGAGCGCGAGCGGAAAT